CCCCCCATGTATGTACGCGTACGTGTTAATGCTTTTCTAATTACGTTTCACTGAAATAAAGAAACATTTCGTACGTTATTTTTAGTTAAGATATAAAGATTAGATAGTAATATAAATGAGAGAAAAGTACTTATTACAAACTATCCTCTAAGAAACCGTTCTCTAGAAGACTAAGTTACTGTGTCTAGAAGCCACAAAAACAATAATTATCACGGTGCATAACGCAGACGTTGCTCTTAACAGTTCGATGCGCACGATAACGGTAATTAACAAAAAGCGTAAAATAAGTATTGCAGAAACATTCGTCGAAAGAGAATTGGCAGAGAGAAAAACTTAAATTTCTACTAACAATTAAAAATAATAATTACATGGAGATAAAAAATGTTTGCACTGTATAATTGCTGGATTAATTTACTAACAAAGTAAGTAGAGCTAAACGTACGGTTTTTTGACAGAATTGAAGAAAAAGACTCGTTTTGTCTTATTACTTTTTCTTACGTCTATTAAAATTTTACAGACATACAGACGGCCTTTATCATATCTTATAAAAGTTGCAAAATTACATATTTTATTGCTTATTTCGACCACGATCGATTTCCATTGTTCTAAATTTTCCAACGGATTCACTGCGCGTACACGCATACACAGACGTGTTCTAAATAAGATCTAAGGTTGTCAATGCGACACTCGACACCCTTGAACACGTGTAACACTTGGAAGATGTCGGCGACTCCTCTGTCAGAGTCGAGTATTACGAGGTAGGGAACACCTAAAGCGGGGTAGGTCTTCACGCTGCCGAGAGCAGGGAGAAACCGAGGAGGGGAGCGAGCTATTCGAGCAAGTTAGGCTCGATAAACAGGTGGATCATCGAAGCCGACATTTGAGGAGCTCTTCCAATCGAGCGATGAAGCGAATAATGCATACAAGCTCCGAGGTGAGGGAAAATTTTCGTACGTTCCCGACATACGCATTTTCGGCTTTTTCACTCCGAGGGATTGATGAAGGACTACAAGAGGTGGAGTACTTGTAAATATTGCAAGTATAATTTTTCAACAAGATTTTATTAATTATAATTTTACGTATAATAATATCGAAAAGTATATATTATATAAATTCAGAAGCAATTTAGTAATGTGATCGATCAATATGTGATATTTGTTACATAAATATACAAGTATTACATAAAATAAACAAAATTTTTATACGCGATAAAAGATAGCTTTGACAAGTAATACCTCGGAAATTCTTCAATTTGCCATATTCCATATAATTATGTTATATTTATTCAATATTTAAAAAAAATGAGAGACTATATTTAAATATATCGTTATAAATATATCGATTGATTAGTCAATTTTTGCTGTGGCTTGGGAAACATACACGCGAGATGTTTCAGACGGTGTTAAATTTAGAAATTTCGCACGACAGCATTAGCCACAGCGATTCTTGTTTTTCGTTTTGCGGTTAGAAGTCTCGCATTTCACCGTTTTTTGACCTGCGGGGTAGTCTTTGATTTTCTGCAGCTATACGTATCAAAAAATTCGCGCTCGTTTCAGTTCTTACTGATTGTAGCATATAAGATTTACTGAATGTACCATATGAGACGCAAGTCGTATTCCCTTAAACTTTTATTCTGCAAGTTTATTACGGTATATAAAGCTTGCGGGAAATTAATTTCACAATTTTATGAGCAAATTACTATGCGATTATTCAGTTAGTTTTATACGCAACATCAACGTGTAATGTATAACATTACTGAACTAAAAAAAAAGGCAACATTATTACCTGCATAAGAATTTGTCAAACTTGCGTGTTAGAAGATACCATGTAATTTGGTATTACACTCTACGGTACTTAACGATAACGTCTATAAGGACCGTATATTTGGCGTAATACCCGACATTTTTGCTCGTAAACGTATTTTTTATTTGACGCTGAATCGACTAGCGGGCCAGCATAGGGCCGCGCATTCAATGGAAATTTATGCGAGGGCCCCGCCCCCTCTTTCTCGCAGAGGCCGAGAGAACTCGGTCGATGGATACCAGGCGCCAGTTTCGCAGACTCTATCTGGGCCCCTTTACGAGCCCTCCAATTGCCTCCCTTTCGTCCAAGTCGACAACGGTACACAAAAATCGTAGGTTGCTGGATGCATAGAAATCATCAACATCAAAGTACACGATCTTAAAGGCTTTAAAATAGGCTATCAGTTTGTTGATAAAATTAAATATTTCATCAACAAGTAGTTAATAAAATAAAAATGAAGAAAATAATTAATGTAAGAATAAAAATCTCAAATATACATTTATAAAAAAATATCCAGTTTCGAATAAAAGTTTTTATATAGCAAAACTTTTAAACATACATTGCAACGGAAAAGTATGTTGCAAATGATAGTGTTGTATTCTATAAGAGTTAATGGTAATCAATAATGTTTGCGAAGACGATGTCTCGTTAGTTCAGAATAATGTGCATCAATCGTCTATTAAATCTTGACTTTACGAAAAATGAGAGAAGGCTCTCTCTCCTCTCACTATCATTTCTGGAGTCGATAAGCAACTCCGTTTTTGGAAGCAAACCGTTTGAGATACGAAACGGCCGTCGTAGCACGCCTTTTCGCCGCCGCGGCGGCGGCGTCCCGCGGGTCCAAGCCCGGGCCCGGGCGGTAGACCCGCAAAAATGACTGCCAAAAAAGGCCCAACTTCATGAAGTCGAACCGTCACTCATCGCGGCGAATTGGCTTCCACAGCGCAACAATATAACACGATGTGTGCATAACGATGCCGCGCACGAACACAAACGCGCGTATATATATATACGAGGGCGAGCACGTGGTAGTCGCGCACGTGTGCGTGTAGCGTACGCCGCACTATATACGTATATATACAGCCAGCGGCCGGGTCGCGCCACACCGGCACACCGCGCGATCGGGTCTACCCTGTGCACAGGAGTAAAGGTTTTACCGATGGCGTACGCCCATACGCACGTAGCATGTAGGCAGAGGTTCCCACACCGCAGGCCATGATTTATTGGCCTGCCACTCGCCAGACCTGCTGTCATCATCGTCCCATGGTTGGTCCATGATACAGCGCGCCGTGCCGTATATAACTTCCCTCTATGCACGATCTCCTCGCGTCATATCGGCTCCTTCTTTCCTCGCGCCCCGTTGATACAGGAAGGCCATCGTATACGCTGCGCCGCACCGCGTCTCCCCTTTGGTCCACCTTGTTTTACCTTAACCAGCCCGCACGAAGCCGACAATCACCTTCTTTCTCATCGAGAAGTTGCCGATGTTGTGGGTGGGAGGTGCGAATTTCGCAAACTTGATCTGGATATCATTATCGCGTGATCTAGATAGCGTCATTATCGTATACCCGAGTATCAGTCTTGCTCTCTTGAGGAAGCAACGTATTTATGAAGATTAAAAGATAAGTGGATAGAAATTAAACTGAGAAAACGAAATAATTCTCCTGGAAAAAGTAATGTGATCGCAAAGATTAAAAGGACGAATGTGAAAAGAAATCAAACTGGAAAGACGCAAGGAAACATTTACTTAAAGTTTGAAGCCACCGCGAAAGGAAACATTTATGTAACATAATTGCGTTTAGAGATAAAAAATAATAAGATATTTTAAAAATGCGGTAATCAAATTATTTAATTCTTGCATTGCAGATTTAAGAATAAAGAACAGGAGGTAAAACAAGATGAATTTATTCATCCCGTCAGACATTTGAAGACTGCATACGACGATAAACGACGTATTATTTCTATTAACATTTCTTATAAAATTGCGAATCGAGTCAGCTAATAAGTAAGCCCGTGAAAGGATAACAGGCTTACTACGAGCTAGCTCATCAGACGGGACGGAAAGGTGAGGAACAGGGAGAAAGAGGGTTTCTATCAGAACACGGGGGGCGAACGCGCGGGAGTCGTCCGATTAGGAACCGAGAGGGGTTACTTCGCTTCGTCGGCCGCTGGCGTTTCCCAGACGGCGGCGGCGACGGCGGTGGCGGCGGCGGCGGCGGCGGCGGCGGTGGCGGCGACGGCAGTTCGCTCGCTCGTTCGGCACACAGTCGAACTCCTTCGCCACTGAACGACGGACGTCGTCGTCGCCGCCGTCGTCGCCGTCGTCATTGTCCACGAGAGACCGGGGGACCATCTCTCTTGGCGCGATCATCATGTCGTGCATCATGATCGGCATCCTGATGATACTCGCGTCGATCGCACGCAGTTGCGCCGGTTGCCCGTTCTGCGCCAGGCAACAGCTGCAGCAGTTGCAGCAACGTTCGCCACAGCCGCAGCAGCAGCAATTTTATCGGACGATCGGCAGCCCGAGACCATTCGGCGCCGACAGGCCGACCCGCGTCCAGGAGTTCAACCGTACCGGCGTGCTGCACCCCGAGTACCAGATACCAGCGACCATCAGGCCCGGCAACGTGTCTCAGTGAGTATAATATTCAGTAAACTCTGCCGTTACACCACACAAGGCTTCTTCTCCCGTGACACCGTCTGACACGGGAGATTTAGACCCACCGGCGAAACGAGAAAGTACGATACCGCACTACCTTGAATTGGCCGCGGTGTCGGGACCCTCGTTCGCCATCGTTTAATTATCCGAGAAGAGACCGCTGGTGTTTTAGTCCGGATAATTATGACACCGCACTGTCGCAATTAGATTCGCAAAATGTTCGATCGATCGTCAGTTTGAATACGATGTAATCTCTATTAAGATCTGATAGATCTTTTGTATGTTTTTTTTTGGAAGGATCAAGTTTGTCAAAATCACGAAAAAAAACTTTAGCTTGCAGGAATTAATTTTTCATCAATGAAATTTTAGACATTACTATAAATAATTTATTGCTCTATTTTTCTGCATTCTTTCGTTTTTAATTCAAAATTTGCTTTATTGACACTTCACATATTTTTATGTAAAATTGTTTAAATATGATAAATATGACTTACATTTTTTTTAGACTTGCTTCAATTTTATTGAAGAATTATTTTGTGTTTCGTATTTCTCCGATCTATTTTATTTATATAATGCTATCTATATATTTATTCCGTAATTCAATTAAGAAATCATTCAAACTATCAATCGACGATTAGAAATGATCGAAGTTTAAAATCGAGAAATCATTTTAAACATTTTCTTTCACAACGATTGCGCATTTGCTATCCAAGACTCAGCGCAGCAATCGCATTTTTTTTTGCATCTCGAAATAAATTTTAATGCGGCAAAATTAGCGCGCGCAATTATAGCGCGTGCAAGCTGCACCTCCTAATCGACGGGAAATATATAAGCAACTGTTTATACGCGCGTAAATTGTTTGCTCGATACGCACAACGGTGGGACCGCGAACGTTTACAGCAACGTCACGCACCCCGTGCCGCGTTTCGTCAACCACGAGTGGACACTCGTACGCCGCAATTCGACGCACATTTTGCGTATAATACGAACGAGTCGATTCGATACATACGACTCATATGGTCCCCCCGCGCATATGACGGCTCACAGCTCTCGTTCGTCACTTGTAGCGAATACGGCGAAATGTTAATGTCGACGGCACGCGGGAAGAACAGAGACAAGGGCCGGCCGTGTCGTAAAAGTCACGCTGTCAGTTGCTACTTCTGTCGAAGGTATAACTTGTACCGAGACGTTTTCCTTTTTTTTATAATATAAATTTACAGCTGACTTCTACGATAAATTCGCAATTATTAAACGACGAGATCTTGCAATAAATTGTTTCAATCATAGCCGATGAATAAGATGATGGAGAATAGATGGAAAACCGATTGGAGAATAAAGGAGTGAACAACTCGTTAGATTCGTTTGATTTATATTCACTTGTTTTAGTTCATTATGCTTTTGCAGCCTCGCAATCATCAAAAATGGCACGCCGTATATCTGCTTATGTGGCCAGATAGCCGCGTCAAGTTTCTCGACGATAGGAGAAGAAACGGAGACTGCGCGCCGCCGACTGTTGCACGCGCGATGGAGACGGACGATAAAATTTGGTCGCTTCGTTGTTGTCCACGTGCTCCTTTACGCCCTCACAATGTGCGCCCAGTGTCTAATGGTCCGATCCGTCGCGACGCCACGCGCCATAAAGTCCTATCGGACGGTTTCCGCGAAACTCCGACTGATGTCGATGTACAGAATTACACGCTTCCACTCTCGGCTTCCCGATTTTTGGTTTTGCAAAGACAGACAGACAGAAAGAGAGAGAGAGAGAGAGAGAGAGAGAGAGAGAGAGAGAGAATAGATATTTATATACCTGACTTATTACTTACAAAAAGAAACAGTTTCTTAGAAGACGCACTATAATAGAAGACAATGGACACGACGATTTGATTTGGTACATTCGTACTGTCGAAGAGCGAATGACACTCGCACGAGACGAGAGATTTATGTGACCAACTCTCACAGAATATCGCGGTGACAGTCCTGTAAAGTTCTCGAGTAACAGAGGTTTAAGAGTGCAGTGAATGTTCACGCGCCCCATTACGAAAAAAAATCGTAAAACTTTGTAATATTTATTTAGTCAAAATGTAAATTACGATTATTTATAGTGAGTGTTTGCATAGTGGTGGATACTTTTTCCTAAGAACAAAGCAAAATTACATCTTAAATTTCAAGCGCGGCCCGAATCATTAATAGATGCTACTTCCTCGTGCCTCGGATATCTTCATCCGTGCTTATACACGCGGAGGCCACGACCCTTTCTATGTTCGCTACCACGTGCCGCGAATTTTATTGTCAAATGATGTTTTTACATCTATTGCATTTGTCAGGAATAGAAATTCCGAAGTCGATCTCCCTTCTCTTTTACTAACAAGCATGACTAAACAATTTCTGAAAGCGTTAAGTATATGAAAAAAGAATGTTTCAAAAGTTCCTTTCTCTCGTTTCTTAGTTCCAATCTTTGTTTTTAATCGCTCATAATTCGAGAAAATTATTCATATCTCAATTTAATCATTTTAATCGAGAACTCAAAGTTAACAAAATTATCTGTCGCTTTACATTTAGAGGCTTCCTTTACAATATGATTTAATAACCGTGGAGAATTAAATTGTACCCCCTACAACTCGACTATTCGTATCGACGCTACCATCATTCTCGCGGCGCGTCCAGTCGCACCTTTCGCGGGGTCGCTCCCCTCGGCAGATCGCGCGCCAGGATGAAGAGGACGAGCAATGCCACGCGCCGCGTAAAAGCGCCCTACCTATCTCGGTCGCGACTTTCCACGAAACTCGCGGTAGACTCGCGACAAAAGAGAGGGAGAGAACAGACCGTCTAACAGAATCAATTCGGGGTTCTTCCCGTCTCTGCCTCTCGCCATTCTCTCTCTCTCTGTCTTTCTCTCTCGCTTCCTCTCCTCTCGCTCTCTCTCTCTCTTTTTCGTGTTCAGGATGACTTCACGGATGCCGGATTTAGATCACGGGGGTCGTGGCTGCGCGACCCCAGACGCCGCGACGCCGGCATTGTGCCCCGACGCTAATTTTACAATAGCTGTCTCACCGCCAGACGCGAACGAGAGGAGCACGTGTGGCGGCTGCAGCGACGGCGGCGTCTCGACGTTCTTTGGGAACGACGACGACAACGACGACGATGACGACGACGACGGCGGTGGCGGCGGCGTCGGTGGCGGCGACGTCGACGGCGGCGGCGGTGACGCTCGGAAGCTAACGGGTTGAGCCGCGCGCGTTGTCGACATCGGCGCAAAATAGAGAGAAAAAAAGAGTGCCCGCAACGGCGTGAAGTAGGGCTTGAGGAAGAGCGGGGGCGGTACTGGATGAGCAGCATCGTCGAGGCGTAAAGTTAACCAGTGTAATTTTCGAAAAAAAGAAAGAAAGACAGAGAGGGGGATAAGGGGGGGGAAAGAAGGAGGGGAGAGGCAAATGGGAAGGGAAAGAATAATTGTATCGAACCGATCAACATTGTGACTAAATATAACGACGGTGGAATTCAGTGTGTATGTACGTATGCGTGCGTGTAGCACGTATGCGTGTTGCGTGACTACGAGATTGCGAGCGACTACCGGGTAATTATTTCAATTACGATATGTGCAGCATCCGCCGCGCGGCGCGATGTTTTCCATCGGATTAACGTTGCCGCTCCACGCCGATTATGATAACGAGGGGCTTGCGAACAAGCGATGCTCGCGCCGGGCTAGGTCGACAGGCCGCGGCGCGTGATTTTTGCGACAGTGCGCTCGACGATGCGCGAAAGCGCCGTCGAAAACGAAGCGAACGCTACAGCGGCCTTTGTACGGCCAACGGAGACGTTTAAAAATCGAGCGCTCGCGTTTGCGTACGTTCGGCATGCCGCGAACACCAATATCAAACTGGATGCAGATGAAATTCTTACAGATTCTATTACCTGAGCCCACGGGAAGGCCCGCCTCTCACGTTACTCGTCAGCCCGTGCAGCGGTCCGATATCCTGGATGGTCAGTTACGTAGAACCGCCCGAAAACAAGCAAGAAGCTGAAGGTACAAAGTGTATATGTGAAATTCTATGCTGACTCTTGATAGCTGAAAAATGCGAAAAAACAAAATTTTTTGCCAATGCAAGTGATTTAAACGCTTTGATTCTTGAAGGAAACCTGTCATCCTATGCAAATATTAAGAGATTTTATTTATTTTGCAATCCGTCTTATATGTCAATATATAATCGACCTTTTTTGTGTTTTCACATTTTTGTTACATTTGCAATGTATTTATAACTATCTCGGCGGTAAATTATTGAAGATCGACGCATAAACCCGAAGACGGATAATTTGAAGGCGTGTCCGAGAAAAAGAAACGCGGTATACTTTACAAAATAATATTCGCAGTCACCTTGGGTGTCACGAAGGTGTAATCGGGGTATCCCTCAACTTGTCCGGTCGCTCGAATAATTTCCGAATCAATTTGCCGCGCAGCACAAACGCGATGGCCCGTGAAGACCCTGAAGCCGGGATCACCTCTCTTCACGTACGAGGGCGCGGAGGACCAAAATTTCACGATACCAAAGACGCGGGCCGGTCTTTACTGGTTCGAAATCAAGTCCATGGAGCCCGCGGGACGGTCGCCCGGCACGGTGCTCCTGTACGCGACCTCGAGCGCCCTGGACCACGTGTCCGGCATGTACGCGAGCGGAAAAGAGGCGCATCGGCATCGCACCCTGAGATTTCAACAGCGACGGAGCAAACGGCGGCTGACGATATCCTGGGGCAAGAGGTATCACTCGAAGTTTACCACGTACATCCTTGTGTACACTTTTCTGGATATATTCGAGGACGAGTTAGCTTTTTAAGTAAACGTTAGGGATATAGCATAGAGGGATGCGCTGCTTTTTTACAAGTTTGGAATCGAGTTTTCCTCGAGTATGTTTCAATAAGTTATAATATTTGTAATGCAATATATAGATTTACTGGACATTTTATACAGCAAGTAGCTTTATCATTTTAATCATAGCATGAGCGAATTGACGCGATCTTTATTGTCAGAGATGGACAATTTCGCGATATAAATCGGATTATAAGCTTGTAATGCAATATGTAGATTTACTGGACATTTCACATAGCAAGTAGCTTTATTATCAGAATTCTAGCATGAGCGAATTGACGCGATCTTTATTGTCGAGGGGGGAAAATTTCATTTCGATATAAATCGAATTGTCGGGAACTCCACAATCTATTCTTAGTACGATCGTTACTGTGGACTTTTACGCGATATCGCGGTAATTCTGTTCTCTTTGACATATAGCCTGCCGTCTGCGACGTAGTTCGGTATAGCACGAAGCCCGCGTGTCAGTGCGTCTACATTGGATTTCGTTGGAGTCGCAATTTCGAGATGGATCGTTTGTTTTTCCAGCCATGTGGATCCTCACCTCTCGAACTACTGTTTATCTGTCACTTCGGGCACGCAGCCGCACCCGTCGACGCTCTGCGCCGCGCAGAACGTTCTGAAGGCACATCCGCACTCGTCGACGAGAACAGGCTCGTCCTCGAAGGAGCACCATCATCGGGGCGTACCGGAAGGTCTGCACTGCGTGCGGCAGACCAAGCTGACGCTTCACAGGATGAGATACGACACCACGTACAACTTCACCCTATACGTGGTCGGTCTCTATCGTCACACGTTAATCGAATCGATCGCTTGTAAAAACCGCATCGGATCATACGCTCAATTTAAACGATAGGCGCTCTTCCGTTTAGTTTTTGCGCCGCGCTCACCTTCACGCGAGAATCGCGTACACGCTCTCGTAACAGGGTGTAGAGTTTATTAATTTCCGCATTTCTCTCGCGCTTGATTATGTTTATTTGTGTTCTTCGTGAAATTATACAGAGAGATTCAGCCGCGCCACGCTGAATATCTCGCGAATGATTATCGCGAATAACGTATCAAAGTGATACTGCTGATTCGACAGGTAAACACTCGGAACAATGTCTCCAATCGGATCGCCACCGATGCCATCAGGTTCAAGAAGACGCCGGAGCTGACGTTACGAACCGGCCGTTACACCACGGCCAATCTGCGGAAGACCGACGGTTTCGTCAATTTCCGTTATCGTCCGCCGGACAACACCTCGAGCACCTTTCACATACTTCCCTGCGGCGGGGGCATCGTGAAGGCGAAATTAAACGGACAAGGAGTATTGCGGGTAAAAGTCATCGGGTGTTTACAGAAAGCGATCGGATGCGTCGACCGCAAATTCGCGAAAGAGTCTAATTTAACAATTGACGCTGTCGCAAGCGAGTAGGGAGGGACCATTTCTGTCGTCAATCGGAAACGCTTTCGCGACAGCGTCACTTATACGCATACAAGCGTGTAAACGCGTGTGTCTCGTGTGATCGGCAGGAAAAAGAAGTGGTTGGATACGCCTCGTTGCGCGTACCCCCTCTGCCCCCCGGTAAGACGTACACCCTGCGTATATCGACCACGCCGCAGGAGCTGGTTCGAGTGTCCACCATAAAAGTGCTGGCCACGCAGGAGTCGTCCACCATTTATCCGCAAGTATGTCAGACCGTGTAAACTAATATTTCCTTTATACAACAACTGCACAAAGATTCCGTTATGCTTCCCGACACTTCCTCAATACAGAAGTAATATATTTCTTTAAAATAAAGATAAACTCATCTAGTTGTACTACGCTATCATCATTTAAGAATTTACAAGAATATAGAATCCGTAACCGTGTAAACTCACCATCAATCGGCTCTCTTCCGTTATCGATAATAAATCCCGATTAATCAGAGACTTGTTTCGCTCGAGAAGTGAATTGGGCATCGCATTTTTTTGGCGCAGATACCGTCCAAGAACCCGCCGCGGGAGTACCGATCGCTCAGGACGTGCCACGAAGTGACGATAGGCGTGGACCCGGCCGGCGCCGCCAAGTACTGCATCCTGGTGAAAGAGCTGCGGAGCTCGTCGTCTCTGGCGAGTGTCACGACCGTGCCGGATCAGTGCGGGCTCCATCGGCGCAGGCGGTCCGAGTACACGTTTGAGGTCTGCGAGGAGAAGCAAAACCCGCCGAAGGACCGGGCGCTGCCGTTCACCCTACGGAGGCTGCAGCCCGGCAAGGCTTACCTCCTGCAGGTCACGGCGCAGCTGAACGGCCAATCCTTGTCCTACCCGTTGCTGGGTGTGCGTACACGACGTTCCTGCGTCACGTAATCCGCATTATTCCCTATTAAACAAACTGTGAGATGAGGCGACAAGATAATCTACAAGGAGGTCACCGTTGGTGACTTCTAGACCTACCTGTCTACTCATCGAATAATATATAGACGTGCAAATCGTTTATCTTGACGCGAGTTTCGGGGAACCATCGGAGTATAGGTACACGCAAACCGTGTCGATGTTATATCTTATAAATTTTCACTGTGTTCTAAAATTTTATTTATAGTTAAGTACAAACGGCGACTATCTCAAACTTCGAATTTCGATAAATATCTCTTTTTCTTTTCACAAGTGAATTATTTTATCTCGCTAATTAAGTCTGCTTGCCAACCAATCGCGGGAGCATTGAGCGCATATCAATGTGAAAATAATACGCGCGACGAGAAGTCGGATCTAAGGATTACGTTCAGTCGCAGGGGGCACAGTCATCTAGTCTAGATTTTACGACACGTAACAACCATACAAGTACACACGCGTATACATACACACGACATCCGCGATAAATGCGGAGCGATCACAAGCATACATATCAACGTATATTTTGATATTTGTATAACATGTATGTATACATTCTTTATATAGTTATAAGTTTTTTTATACGTACTCCTTTCACCCTAAATAAGTACAATGAATACTTTTTGCCACTTTTACGGCTACCTGTAGTTGCGAATAGAGATTACACATGAAATCGAGAAAACGAATAAACGAAAAAATTTAGACAGACAAGCAAGTTAAATTGTTGCTCGCGCGTATACAACTTCCTCTTATTTGTGATAGAAACTGTAAAAACCTTCCTTATTTTACATATTCGGTTGTGTAATAACAAAAATATATAGCTACTGGTTGCGCGTCGCGACGGGATCAGAGTTCCACTTCGATGAGCCTGCGAAGCCTTTCACCGGGCGAATTTGGCGGTTCCGCCTTCAGCAACGTGGCCGCTCTGGCGAGATGGGCTCGCTTATCCTCGCCCGGACACATCGCGAGCTCTCGCAGGGTGACCGCCGTGTAAAGCGCCAGACGAGCGCCGTACGGATCCAATCGGCTTACCGTGTCCATGACGCGTTTACATAACTCGGACTTTCGTGGATCGGTCGCCGGCAGTAGCTGCATCAGCGAGTGACTCACGGATACGCAATGCTGATGGCCGGGATGCAGCAGCACCGTAAGCCTAAACGAACGATTCGTTGAGTTCTCAAATAGCGCAGAAGGTATGAATGCGCACCGCGACTTTCTAGTATTTTACCCGATTTAGTTATTTATCATTAATTAATGATTGAAATTGATGTTAATAAAAGTCGCGGGGAGGCATAAATCTTTACCGTGAAAGAAGATCGGATAGCGTATGCTCGGTCGCCTGCTTCATAATCTCCACTACGTCTTCATCCAGCCTGTCCGTCAACTGCGCGACCTCCGAGGATGTTACTGTTCCCGGACACGCGTTACAAGACCAATCGGTATTTGGATTTAAGGGATCGTTCGGCAGCATAAGTCCGTTTTTGCAGGGACAATTCAGGGTGCCCAAGTGCGTGCCCAATTCTGTGGGATCCGCGCAACGCTTGCATCGGCAAGCGAAGTATTTCGTGGCAAGGAGATGTTCCCTCCTGGCCTTGGTGGACCAAAGCGCGTGCGTGTACATGGTGCTCAAATGTTCCCCTCTGGAAATATCAGTCGCAAAAATGTGTAGTGATAATAATAGATCTTTCACTTTCACGAGATAGCCCTGGTGAAAAATTTGTTTCTTACAAATAGAATTCTTTATATAATTTTTCACTATTTTTATGTAAATTTCAGAATTTTTAGAATTTTTGTGTAATTTTATAACTTTTTAGAAAATTTTTCAGCTCTTTTATACAAATTGGGACACTTTTTAGAAATACTGAGAAAATCTATATCTTTTTTCTAAAATTTTATGTATGTGAATTTTTAAATATACTAAAATTTATTCTATAATTTAAAAAAAAATCTGAAGAAGTTTAAAATATTTTTTTTAGAAATCTTTATCAATTTAAAATATTTTTAAAAATTATATTATGAGAATTTATTTATATTCTAAGAATTATGAGAACTAGGGAAACGAATAATTTTTTATGAGAGCAATGAATTATAAACTATGTATATACCTTTTAATAGACGTGACCGCATACACCGTAATACGCGGCCTGCCTTTGTCGTCGATGCGAAAACTGTGTCGCGTGTTCGCGATACAGGAATGCTCCAGAAGAGACGCGTGCTCGTAAATCGCCACGGAGCCTTCCGGCGGCGCGGTCTCCAACGCGTTCACGTCGATCAGGCCGCAAATCGTCGGCAGAACGTCCTTGCAATCGGATGCCATCGACAAAAGTGGCCCGAGACGCTGGCTCACACTCGACACTTCGTCGTGAGCCTCCGTGCCGGGTCCTCGTGACTCCACGTGACTCTGCAGATTGGCCAAGGACGTCCAGCGTCGCGATTTCGTACGCCACAGTATCAGTATACGAATCACCAGTAGCACCTCGCATCTGCGAGCACGAAATTCATGGCGTAAGTGAATCGTCACGAGGAACGTCTGTATATCTGTAGAAACATCTTTAGAAATTTAATTTTCCGCAATTAATTTTTCCCTGTGCGACTCAAGTCGCGATTGAGTAAACTTAAATTTCTCTTCTACTCGTTAAACGCCTCGTTAGTTTATCTTTGGAATGAACACTTTGCCATCATCCGATCTGCAGGAGACGGAGCGCGCGTTACCTGGGAACAATTCTAGCGCGCGCGAGGAGAGCGCACTCCAGCTGGTGCCTCTTCTTGTCGAGCAGCCTCCCGCAATCGGGCCTGCACACCGGCCAGCAACACCCGCCGCATCTCGCGTCGACGTTGTCGCACCGTTCGCCGCAACCGACGCAGACCCGCTGATTCGCGTGGGTCGATGGTCCCCAGATCAAAGGCGCCTCCGTGAGGATTGCGTCTCCCGGCGCCAGATCCCTGGTCGCCAGCAAGTGCCGTCCAAGCGCGGAGTCGCGACCCATTTCCCAGCCGCTGCACGTGGACCTGTGACGCGGCCAGTCTTGGGACTGGTGCGACTTGTCGCAGTAAAATTCGCGTCTGCATCCACTGCATTTCAACGTGGCGTTTTTGCCGCACACCGGGCATACACCGTATTTCAGATCACCGTCCATGATCAGTTAAGATCATTGCCCGCGAGGTCGAATTTAATTTTTAAACTCTGACCATTCAAGCCTCTGAAGTTCAACTATTAATTTAATTCATTTAGCTGCTCAAATACGAATCGAAAGTGAATTGAAATCTTTTATAGAACGTATTTGGTACTTACAGTACATTAATTCGGGAGTTGAGGATGAAGTAACGTTAAACGCGCAATCAAAATAGTCTATATTTATTATATTTTATTATAAATTTATTCAATTCCCCCCAACGATATAATTAGGTCAAACTAATCGCGAGAGAACATCGTTCACCGACCGCTAACTTTATCGTACTGAACAAACCGGCATTTGCTAACGCAGCGGCCACGTTTAATTATAGGTCGGACGGCCGTGCTACTATTTTCGTAAAACGAAGGGAATGAAGATTTTTCAACCGACGCTGGATCGTACGTGCAGTTAGCGAGCATGCCAGCACATTCAACGAATTTATGAATTATTATGATTCCTCTCTGCGTCTGATTGTGAATCTAAATCTAAAAAATTATAAGAAATGTAGAAGTCCACTCTTACATGCGGATAATAGATTATCATTTATAATGATATTTCGATGGGACATTTTTAGATCTGACATACGCGATGCATATTTTTTAATCTTTTAGTTGAAGAAATAGAGCCATTTTATATACGTGACTTTTTTTTTAATGAGTTGAATCGATCACCAACATCGTTTCAACGAAAATCGATATGGAAGGTCGAAATAACAAAGGTGATATAGATAATATTTCGATTTATTATTAAACGTGCCTACATGATACAAATCAGGGAACAACACAATCTCGTTATCACTTTATGACGTAGTAAATATGTTTTGTCCTTTGCGTGTACGTGATGAGAGTCTAATAATTATTACACCTTACCTATAGGAGATGGGATTAATTTAACGATGTTCATCAGATTCGGTACACAGACTATCACAAAGTTGATTGCTGGTTCGGGTTTCGTACATGGGTGTTTCTAAAATGATCACAGCCGCGAGCTGAACGACATAAAAAGTAACACGTCCGAAAGCATTCTTTTACGTACGTCACTATGCCCGAATTTTTATCGATTTTCTCCGCCGATCGTTTTTCTCCTTGAAAAAACATCGTCGATATAAATAATACCGCGATTATACGCCCGAAGCGTGATTTCAATCCGTCACGATACTTTTCCCACCGTTATCCCATCCGCGACCGCCGCTTGCTTATCTTGCGCGAACATCGACTTTTAATTCCACCGCGAAGATCGATCGATACGCTGCATGGAACTAGGAAAATCAGTGCTATCACGCTCGGCTCGCCATTAGAATATATCGACGCGTTTGAGATATGAGGGTCGACCGCGTATCAAAATTTATACGACAGCCCGAAGCAAATCGTCAGAGCCCACGGAAATCCCAGGTTTTAATTCGATTTAACGTCATTCCGGCTCAGTACGAGGCTCGATCCTTTGAAAACCTTCTCGACGTCGTTTCTCTCATGTTACCGAAATCACAGAATTACGGAGAGTCGATCGTACCAATTCCATCGTGTCCAGAATAAAAAATACGGATACGCAGTTAACGCCGCGTTAACGCAATTTAGAACGCACCCTGTACGTGTAGCATCATTGAAGAAGTACGAAGTCGCTCAATGAGACCATGAGAATGACACCATTCTTTTTTCCGTTTTTTTTCTTTCTTTTTTTTTCCTTTCTCCCCCTTCCTCTCTTTACACCTTATTATACAAATACAACGAGACACCGTGTAATTCTTATATCTTCTTCACATATTAAGAATATATTCCTAGGTACTCTGCGAGGACGTGCGACCGTCCGTAAAGCGATCCGCGATCGGCTCTCGCGGGGCGGCGGCGCGCGAAGCGAGCCCGTGCTTTAAAGCAAACTCAATTAAGCCGTTAATTAGCGAACGCGAGATTCCAGCCGTGATGAAAAATCGTCGCACGAGAATGGAATTCGCGCGCCGCCGACGCACGGGAACCGTACCCCGAGCGGACATTTACGCCTCGCACGTCATCGTCGTATCTTGATTTCGGTATATCACTCTCTAACTGCGCTATGTATAGTTTCATATATATATTTATATATTTATATATTTATTTATATAGAATGCATTACGAACTCTCTCACCGCACGGCTCGCAGCCGCGTGTGACAGAAACACCGAAGCACATGCAAAACAACTCAAATGTAACACAACAGTGCGCGATTCCTCGCCGGCTCCTCTTTCTCTCTCTCTCTCTCTCTCTCTCTCTCTTTCTCGCCACCCCTTTCTCTCCACTATAAATAGAATAAATTATTCCTCTTTATGTACAATGGTACTTCCTCCTGGGTGTTTGTGCTTACGTAGGCCTGCACTCTCGCCGCACGTTTAGCGTTAAGAATCAATTATGCCAATAATATTCACTGCCGAATTTTGCGCGTCGCTTTCCGTATACTACTGGATTACGCCGAGAAAGAAATTTCGACGAGTTCTGACGCGATCGGTGGCAAGTTCAATGGCGCAGCGGATCTTGAACGTGCAGTTTTCTCGATTTTATTAAAAAAAAAAAAAAAAAAAAAAATCTTGCAAGAAGCAAAATAAAAGAAAAACGCTAGCGCTAAACGCACGCTGAGCTATTGTTCTTAAATGTACATACATCTTGTCCGCTTCTAGCTTGTGCAAATCTCTCGCGGCGATTGTTTGACTGAACGGCGATGATCGAACTTTGCCTCTTTTTTTTCCATTGTATCAAAATATATCAAAATCGCGAAACTAGAACAACCTGGCGTTCCCTATTTTCTTTCAAGCTGCAGAGCAACGTCGGTCATCGTAGTTTCGATGTACGGATATTATATTCCGTGCAGCAATGAGAATCCGCGGGAATCTTCGTTAAAATCTTCCTGAATGCATTCAGGTATATATAAGCCGATTCTCTTAAAATTATCGAACATATGATTTACTAAAACACTCTATCTCTTTCTCTCTTGTATGAGATATTTAGAAGTTATCTCGATAAAAATATATTATAGAGAGCAATCACAAAGAGAAAATTCAAGCTGCACTCTTGAGAGAATATCTTGGGCTCTATAGTGAAAATACATGCATACCCAGTAGATGTCTGACGATAGTTACGTGAGTATATCTTAAAAATATTACCAAGATATCTCCATTATGTATAATATCTCGGGGATGTTATATCATACCCCCGTGATTTTTTTTCCCCCCAACAAGACGATCTCGACGAGATCCCGCGGATTTTCCTTTCGCCGCGCGGAATTAACATTCGATTTGCCCCTACGAGTGCGTATAGTAAAAATAAAACGCGCGTGCCTCGGCATCGCCACGCACGTCCGTTAATAAATTAACATTCATTCACCTCGCTTTGGCAAACAGTCCGCCGAAACGCGCGGTTTCCACAGCGCCGCAAAACGAGAACGCCTGAACGCTTTATAGCCTCGGTGATTATGCAATATGTAAAATAGATCATTTGTGTTTGCTTATTCCGCGGGGGAGAGAAACGCTCTAGCAACGTTACATTGTGACATGCGAATGTACGGTCATCGTCGGGAAACGCTCGCCGTCCGTATATACACGGGGTATATCTCGTCGTTATGGCACTGGATATCAACGTGGTACACTGCCCGTATAGTGCGCTATCCTCGCGTAAATGCAGCTCGTGCTTGGTACAAAAGAACCGACGATCCCTCTAGTCTTCTTGTGTGTTCAATAAAACGCGATCTCGCGATGGGTATCGTACGCTTCGACAGTGTCGAGGATGTCTCTCTCTCTCTCTCTCTCTCTCTCTCTCAGTTAGCTTCTTTCTCTCACACTATCATCGGTACTTAAAGAACATTTCTTTATCGCCAAATTTCCTGAAGCGCACAACTCTGGTAGTCCGCGTCTTACATTTAGGAAACTATTATTTTCTGTTGTAAACAAAGGCCACTGAAATGCAAGAACCTACTGCAAATACTATAAGAGTACACGTAAAGAATAAATCCCTCGAATGTGTGTGTAAAACTCTCGACGAGTTTAAACGACGTGCGCGGACGAAGGTTCGTTGGCTTCCGCCGTTTAATCAATCGACTAGTACCAAACAGCCGTTTTTAAGTCGCGAGCCATCGCGAGGGGAATCTACACTCGATCATTTAATGAACGTTTGCTGAACTCGTGTGTTTTAGCGCGTCACTGTAAAGACTGATTATCTGGACGTATTTCCCAAATCAACGCGCGCGTATCAATACGGATTTTTCAAACGGACATCACCCGAAACTATGATCTTCGTTTAAACTCTTAAAACTAGTTACTAACACTTAGGCCTCGCTAAGACAATTCGGCCTGCTGTTATGAGATCGACATTTGGGGAATGAATGTCCCGTTTGCGCTTTATCCTATCGCGGGAGACACTCGCGTGAGTCGGATCGCGATTTGCGACATAACAAAGGCGAAACTACAAAAAAAAAAATACATGTAAAAGTGTATCAATATACAAAGTTTACTAATCATACGACTCGACAAGAACTACACTCACACAAAATTTAAGTGACAGTAGCGTCGTAATTTACATCGAAACAAATGTTTTTCGAAATGAAACTTATGTAACTACAGTTCGTTCATTTGAACAATTCGAACAAATTTTAAAGTGTACACGGAGAGAATTTTATTTTAAAATTTACCTTGAAAATCATGTTAATCGTGGAATAACATAGTTTTTGATTAATTTTATGTGATTTTCACTTTTTTTTTTAAATATATACAACAAATTTATTGAAGTGCACAGTAAAAAAAAACAAAGAAAATCACATAAAAGTCGAAATATTATGTTGCTCATGATTAACATGATTTTTAGGGTAAATTTTAAAAGGAAATTCTCACCGTGTATGAGAATTTTTTACTATTAATTAAAATATTATTAATTATATTTACACAATTTCAGTCGATTAAATAAAAAGATTTCTTAATAGAGAGTTTCCGGTCCGGATCAAAGCATCAGTGGCTGATCACAGAATCGCGTATTGTCGCATCACCACATTCAATGTATATAGAGAGCGCCAATTTTTTTTTTTGATTCGATATAAGTTGCATTGCAAGACGTGTCACGCATGTCAATCGATCATTGTCTAAAAACATGGAATATGGCAGTTTGACATTAAAACGGAGAAACATTAAATTTTCCACAAAGAACTTGATATCATATCTTCGATATCGATTGGATGGACAAACGACAATAAAACATTTCGAAAATTTCTTCTTCGAGATTCACACATAAAAGCAGTACTAATGACGTCTAACCCGCTGACTGCCATGCTTGCGCATGTATCTCACAACGTATTTGCTGAGACAAAAGAATGTAGATTCCGACAGAGTGCAA